ACTCCCTTCTAGCACTGATGATGTTCCCTAGTTGGGTAATGAAGTGTCTGCAACCAGTTCAACCCTGAGCTACAGATCTTTTCGACTGTTGGATCCGATAAATGCAATAAATACTGGAGATTTTTGGTTAGAGAAAGAGGCAGACATCCAACTTGGAACCCAGGTGCAGAATGACGGGATCGCCAAGGCGTTCGGTTCCACTCTTGGTGGCTCTTCTAAGCCTTTGGACCTTCTCCATCCTCCCTTCCCTTTCTGCTTTCAGGTGGGGGTGAGGGTGGCAGGTAGACTCTGTGGGCTCCATTTGTCTGCTCAGGAGACCTTGATGTCCTCTTCTCTTCCTTCTCCTGCCCTTCGCCTCTCCAGATCCGGGTCCGCGTCATCGAAGGGAGGCAGCTCTCCGGGGTCAACCTCAAGTCTGTGGTGAAGGTCACGGCCGTGGGGCAGACCAAGAGAACCAGGATCCGAAAAGGAAACGGCCCCTTTTTTGATGAGGTGAAAAAAGAAGGGGGCTTATTTCACTCTGCACGGGATGGAGATTGGGGAGTCAAGAAGCTGACGTGAAGTAACCCCAGGAAAAAAAATCCTGTGGTCTCCTCATCCTTTGGGTTAGGACAGGGGTCTTCCAACTTGGCCCTTTGATGACTTGTGGACTTCAACTCCCAGCGTGCCTGGCTGCAGAATTCTGGGAGTTGAAGTCCACAAGTCATCAAAGGGCCAAGTTGGAAGACCCCTGAGATAGACTTTAAGAGGAGTGGACTTCAACACCCAGAATTCCTCAGCCAGCGTGCCTGGCTGAGGAATTCTGGGAGCTGAAGTCCACAAGTCATCAAAGGGCCAAGTTTGAAGACCCCTGGTCTACTAGGACTCCAAGGTCCCTCTCACAGTTACTGCTATTGAGGCAGGTGTCACCTAATCGGTACCTGCCCATTTGGTTTTTCTCGCCTAAGTGTAAAACCTTACTTTTCTCTCCCTTGAATTTCATTTTAATAATAATAATAACAATAAAGTTGGAGGGACCTTGGAGGTCATCTAGTCCAACCCCCTGCTCAGGCAGGAAACCCTATACCATTTCGGACAAATGGCCGTCCAGTCTCTTCTTAAAGACTTCCAGTGTTGGTGCTTCTGGAGGCAGGTGGTTCCACTGGCTAATTGTTCTCACTGTCAGGAAGTTTCTCCTTAGAGTTAGAACAATTAACCAGTGGAACCACCTGCCTCCAGAAGCGGTGAATTTTGTTAGAAGGGGCCATAGGTTCAGCCACGGGGCGTCACCTGGATGCCACCAAGGGTGCCTGAATGAGTTGGCTGCCTCCCTGGAGGAGTTTCACGTCCCTTTGTAAACCCCGGTTGTGAGGATTGCTCCAACTCATCCGGTGGCTTTTTAAAACTTGGGTGACTTTGGAGGAGGGGCTGAGGACCCCTTCCTGGTGGAAATGCATTTGGGGTGCAGCCGAGCCTCACCCCTCCGCCTGTCTCCCGCAGAGCTTTTTCTTCAACGTCTTTGAATCCCCCGTGGAGCTTTTCGATCAGCCCATATTCATCACGGTAAGTGATGGGGGGTGGGATGGGGGGGTCACCTCCTTGGCTTACACGGAGAATGTACCCTGGGACGTGGGACGTGTTCCCACGAGATGCATGGATCCCAGGGGACCGACACGACGTGAGGCCTTTGCAACTTTCATTCATTGGGGGAGGCGCGTTCCACATCTGTGAAAATTCACATTTTTTCCCCGTTTCGTTTGCCATTTATTTATTTGCATCTCACCTTTTTTATTTTTACAAAAGAAGGTGGCAAACAGAGCCCACACACTTTCCTCCTTCTATTTCCTCACAGTAGCAACCCTGTGAGTGGGTTGGGCTGAGACAGCTGGCTTCCGTGCCTAAGACGGGACTAGAACTCACCGTCTCCGGGTGAATGGCCCAAAGTCAACCAGCCAACTTTCGTGCCTAAGGCGGAACTAGAACTCACCGTCTCCTGGTGATTGGCCCAAAGTCGCCCAGCCAACTTTCGTGCCTAAGGCGGAACTAGAACTCACCGTCTCCTGGTGATTGGCCCGAAGTCACCCAGCCGGCTTTCGTGCCTAAGACAGGCGGGACTAGAACTCACCATCTCTGGGTGATCGGCCCAAAGTCACCCAGTGGCTTTCTTGCCTAAGGCGGGACTAGAACTCAGCGTCTCCTGGTGATTGGCCCAAAGTCACCCAGCCGGCTTTCATGCCTAAGGCGGGACTAGAACTCACCGTCTCCTGGTGATTGACCCAAAGTCACCCAGTCGGTTTTCATTCCTAAGGCGGGACTAGAACTCACCGTCTCCTGGTGATNTGCAGCTCGCGCAATAGCGGCGTTACGTGGGAGCAACGAGTCGCTCCCATCACCGCTCGCGCGGCCGCATTCTGGACTAACTGGAGCCTCCGAGTGCTCCTCAAGGGAAGCCCCATGTAGAGAGCATTACAGTAGTCCAGGCGGGAGGTGACAAGAGCGTGGGTGACTGTGCGCAAGGCGTCCCGGTCCAGAAAAGGCCACAACTGGTGCACCAGGCGCACCCGGTAAAACGCCCCCCTGGCCACAGCCGCCAACTGGTCTTCCAGTGTCAGCCGTGGATTCAGGAGGACCCCCAAGTTGCGTACCCTCTCCGAGGGGGCCAAAGTTTCGCCCCCTATAGTCAGCGATGGAGTCAGCTGACCATACCTGGGAGCTGGCAACCACAGCCACTCAGTCTTGGAAGGGTTGAGCCTGAGTCTGTTTCTCCCCATCCAGACCCTCACGGCCTCCAGACACCGGGCCATCACGTCAAGGGCATCATTGGGGTGGCCTGAGGTGGAAATGTACAGCTGAGTATCATCAGCGTACTGATGGAAATCCACCCCAAAGCCACGGATGATCTCCCCCAGCGGCTTCACATAAATATTGAACAGTAAGGGGGAGAGGACCGACCCTTGTGGCACCCCACAAGTTAGGGGCCTTGGGGTCGACCTCTGCTCCCCTGCCAATACAGACTGCGTGCGGTCGGTGAGGAAGGAGGAGAACCACCGCATAACCGTGCCTCCCACTCCCAACTCAACCAGACGCCGCAGCATGATACCGTGGTCCACAGTATCAAAAGCCGCTGAGAGGTCCAAAAGAACTAGGACAGAGGAACAACCCCTGTCCCGGGCCCTCCAGAGATCATTTACCAATGTGACCAGTAATAATAGTAATAATACTAGCAGCAGCAGCAGCAGCAGCAGCAGCAGCAGTAGTAGTAGTAGTAATAATAATAATAATAATAATAATAATAATAATAATAATAATAATAATAATAATAATAATAATAATAATAATAATAGGGAAGCTAGATTTGCTTAATGACCATATGACTAACTTAAGAGCCGCAGGGATTCACTTAAGAACCGGGGCAAGAAAGGCCATAAAACAGGGCAAAGCTCATTTAACCAATGTCTCATTTAGCAACAGAAATGTTGGCTTCAAGTGTGGTTGTAAGTCGGGGAGTGGCTGAAGAGTGTCTGGGTTGGGTAGCTCTGCCTCTCCCGAATCTTTGGAGCCGAAAGCTTATTTGGGGGATGTGTGTGTGTGTTTGTGTGTGTGTGTGTGGTGTGTGTATGTGTCTCTGTGTGTGCGTGTGCGTGTGTGTGCACCAGGGGCATTGTGGTGGCTCAGGGGTTAAGATGCCGAGCTTGTCAACTGGAAAACGGGCAGCCCGGGTTTGAGACCCCAGCGCCCTGGGACGGGGTGAGCTCCCTGCCTGGCCTCAGCTCCTGCCAGCCTCTCAGTCTGAAAGCAGGCGGGTGCGAGTAGATGAACAGGCACCACTTCAGGGGGAGGGCTCTGTGGTCACATGATGTCAGGCTGGCCACATGACCTGGGGAATGTCACGGGCCCTGAAAGGGAGAGGAGCAGCGCCCCCTAGAGTCGGCTCCAGGGACGATGCCCTCATTTGACCAGATCGGCCTCCGTCTGGTCAGGTGGGGTGTCCGTGTTGTGGGGTCTGATCAGTTGTGGGGTGTCCGTGTGACTGAGGTCTCCTCCTTCTCCTCCCCCCACCCAGAGCACTGCTTCCTCCGGAAATGGCTGCTGCTCTCCGACCCGGAGGATTTCTCCGTCGGTGCCAGAGGCTACCTGAAAGTCAGCTTGTATGTCCTGGGTCCTGGGGATGAGGCCCCCGTGAGTATTGGCATCAGAGGGGGGTCAGAGTTGCAAAGGGGGGACCCCCCAAAAGACGCCTCTTGTGCTGATCGCCCGTCAGTCTGTCAGGCGCATGTTTCTAGCCCTTGATGATGTCACCTGGTTGGGTCATGAAACGTCTGCAAGGAAACAAGGCAGCTCAGAGAGCACCAGGGACCCCCCAGTCCTCCTCTTCCCCCTCCCCCTCCTTCTAGTCCTCCACTCCTTCCCCTCCCCCTCCTCTTCCCCCTTCCCTCCTATTCCTACCCCTCGTCTTCCTCCTCCTCCTCCTCCTCTTCCTTCTCTCCCTCTTACTCCTTCTCTCCCTTCCTCCTTCTCCTCATCCTCCCTCCCTTCCTTCCTTCCTCCTCTTCCTCTTCCTCTTCCTCCTCCTCCTCCCCCTCCTCTTCCTCCTCCCTTTCCTCCTGCCCCTCCTCCCCTTCCTTCCCCCTCCTCCTCCCCTCCTCTT